CTATTGCTGCTGATGTTGAGAGTATAACATAGATCCAATTAAAGAAAGGGCGCATAAAAAAGACAAACGGTAAGCACAGCGGAGAGAGAACGAAACCATACAAATAAAGGTGAAAGGTAGAAAAAGAAAAGGGGAAAAATGAGTCACAAAAGAGAAAGAACAAAGAAAAATCATCTCACACTTTGTTCATTATTGGAACCAGTGGCGAGTCCTTTGACAGGCCAAAGGACGTGTAGATCGGAAAGTAGGACACCGGCAGCACGAACGCCCTGCAGTCCTGCCCATAGTTAAGCGAATAGAAGACCTCCCATATCATAAGCGCGTATCTCTCGCTGAACACTCGCTCCATGCCCTCTGTGTAGCTCGTGACCAAGTCCTCGTCCTTGGTCTCCTGCCAGAGCTTCTGGTACAGTGGGGTTTTTGAGTCCTGTGGGATACGTCAATACTGTATGTTGTTGTCTGTTTGGAGTAAAGGGGGTGTGTCCACTGCCAGGAAACAATGCTTACTAAAGGTGAATATATGATAATGTTTCACCGGAAGAAGGAAATTACAGATGCTAAATTTGGAGAGGGGGTATAATTTTTTTTCAGATGAAGATAAACTGATTATCACATAGAGATCTTAATATATTAGAGATATAAAATGCAACAACTAATCGAGGTAATACATCTACAGCCAAATGTATATCAAAACGACCTCCCATTTAATGCAAATCACCCATACTCGAAAATCATTAGCATTCGAAGAGCCTTTAAGGAATCCAAAAGTCAGTGACTCTTCATTGTCTATATCTTGGAGGTCCTTATAAGGAGGAAGTGAGGGTCCAACGGTGAGTGCCGAGACCAAGTTACTCGTATAGAAGGCCAGGCTGGCTACCTGCAGGAGGAGCACCGTCAGGACCACCGTGCGCTCTGCTGCGCCGCGGAAAATGATCGGAGAACCTGAAAAAGGGAGATTGGATCTGTATCATCTGTATGTTTATCTACCTCTAATATCATTATTTGAGCATTATTATCACTATCTAATTTATTAATGTAATCATCATTACTGTAAACTTGTCACCTGGGCGGTAGAAGTTTGGACATTCAATGACTGGCTTTAGGTTTGGGGTTGTGGTAGAGAATACAGGCCTATTCTTATGGCAGGGGTTGTGGTGAATACAGGCCACTTCTTATGTACAGGCCTATTCTTATGGCAGGTTAGGGGTTGTGGTGAATACAGGCCACTTCTTATGTACAGGCCTATTCTTATGGCAGGTTAGGGGTGGTGGTGAATACAGGCCACTTCTTATGTACAGGCCTATTCTTATGGCAGGTTAGGGGTTGTGGTGAATACAGGCCAATTCTTATGGCAGGCTAGGGGCTGTGGTAGAGAATACAAGCCTATTCTTATGGCAGGTTAGGGGCTGTGGTGGAGAATACAGGCCTTTTCTTAAAACAAGTTATATATAGAAAGTACTTGAGGGATATCAGCCACACAGAGTTTTAGGCATCAGCACATAGTGTGTGGAAAAATCATGAGGGAGAAGATTCAAAATTGATTGATTATTTTTCCAATAAAGATGTGCACAGCAAATTACAAGAAAAGTACTGTTTCTGCGTACAATGCAATGATATTATCTTTTTTAGCCTTATCATTTATATTATTATCATTATTAAGCCATCTCATTATAACTTGTCAGAGCCTCCGGTGCGGCAATGACCCCTCACCTTGCCCGAACACAAAACCCACGATGGTAAAAGCGGTGTCGGACAGAGACGCTTTTTGCTGCCGGCGAGAAGGGCGAGACGCGAGGCGCAGGCACGCCACCGCCGCTGCCACGACGACCACCATCGTCGCCCACACGCCAGGCTCGAATTGCTTCGTGTAGACGCTCCACATGTAGTCCTCGTTGGACGGCCGTTTTAACACTATTCTAAAACTGGAGGAATAAAAACTTAGAACACAGAAACCTTCCTCTGAGCAGAACACACCATGAAAATTCCCTTGCTTGATTCGAACATATGTGATTAGCAGAATGGAAACAAAATAATTCAAATAATCTTACTGCAGCACATAATAACACAGGCAAAAAGTAACCATCACTGCATCACTGGATGTTAAAATATCCAATAATGCATTTTTCTTCTAGCTTATATTTTGATTCCTCGATGGAAACTGTGTTTTGTTTTTGGTTGTGCGGGCAATGGAAGAAGGGAGAGGCGGTGGGAAGAGGGAGACGAAGAGATGGGAAAGTGGGATTTGAAGGGAGTAAAGAGAAGTAAGAGGAAGAGAACGTAGATAAAATGAAGAAAATGTAAAAAATCCGGGACTATTGCTCTCCTCCTTCAAGGCAAATAAACACCATAAAATAGCTTTGCCACCAAAAAAAGCGTCATTGTGTTTTTACTCACCCTGCTGAGATCATCCCAACCAAGTACTGAACCGCAGTACTTCGCTGCTGAGTAATGGCTAGGTTAGCCACGGCGATGTCGGCGGTTCCTTCCAACACCTCCTTCA